GTGTGACGGTAGATGAGACCGTGAGCGTGAGATCATGCTGCAGCTCCCCTTCAAACCAGGTAGTGACGCTGTCGGTTGAGCCGATGTAGAGGAGATCGTCTACGTAGACGATTAGCAGGATGTAGTCGGTGCCTTTCGTGAGCCGGTACATGCCCTGGTCGTGCGGTAGTTGCTTGAAGCCGATGCGAATGAGGTGGGCGTGTAGGTATTGTTGCCATAGCCGCGGAGCTTGCTTGATGCCGTAGAGCGACTTGAGTAGCTGGCAGACGTGGTTGGGCTCTCCGTTGGAGCCGTGCGGTAGCTCCACGAAAATTTCTGCGTCAACAGGTGCGTAGAGGAATGCGTTCGCGACGTCGATTTGTCGCAGCTTCTTCTTCTTCATGGCGGCGATTGCGAGAAGGAATAATTCGTAACGATGTGTGTCGGCTGACCGGAGTGAATGTTTCGGTGAAGTCGCGTCCGTGCTCTTGGTCGAAGCCGCGCACGACCCAGCGCGCCTTAAATTTGTCGATGGTGCCGTCTGCTTTCGTCTTCACACGGAAGACCCATTTCCCGGTGAGAATGGTCTTGTTTCGTGCTACGCCGATAGGAACGATTTTCCAGGTGTTGCGTTCCTCTAATGCCTTCAGCTCCTTGTCCATGGCTTCGCGCCATTTTTCCCTGTGCTCCCCCCCAGAGCCTGTTGAACTGTCGCAGGCTCCTTAGGAATGGCTGCGCCGTGGACTGCGGTGACGAGTCCAAGTATCTGGAGTCCACTCTGTGTGTAGCGGGGGAGTGTGGTGTCCTCGGGATAAACTGCTTCGTCTCCCGTTTCCGGTGTAGGATTAAAATCTGGTCCTACGCGTTCTGCTTCGTTGGTGTTGACCCGTGCAGGTGTAACGTCGGCGAAGTCGTAGAAGACCTCGGCGTTGATGCTTTAGCGAGGATTTTCGTCGTCCATCGGGATGTCAACTGAGCAGTAGGGGAGAGGTGCGGCTTCTTCCGAAGCTCCTTCCACGTTCTGCTCGTCCCAGTCAGCTTCGTCGGCTGCCGAAGCGAAGGCTCGGTCTCCACGAAATTCGCCCGAGGGGTCAGGTCTGTTGGCTTCCACGTAGGCGAGTTGAGTTGCGAGGGTGAGGCTTTCGTAGAAGATGACATCACGTGCTGCTACTGTTTCCTTGCTGTTGATGTCGAAAATTTTCCATGCGTTGTAATGCTTTTCGATGCCCAGGTGTAGCCCCCACTGTGCGCGTTGGGAGAATCGGCCGGCTCGTGCAGATGGGGGTCGGTACTGTACCATGCAGCCAAAAACTCGTAACATTTTTGTGCTGCCCAATTTTCCTGTCCACAACAGATGCGGTGATGCGTTGTTCGGGAGCGATGATGACGAGAGCAAGTTGTGCAGCATGACGGCGTGGTCCATTGCTTCGGGCCACTGGTGGTTGGGCAGGTGCATGCCACGTAGCAGCTTGCGCATGGTGTTCTGGAGGGTCCTGTTCATCCTTTCTGCTACACCTTGCTGTTGATGGGCGTAGGGAAGAGAGATGAGCCGCTTGATTCCCCTCTCTGCCAAGTACTGCTTGAACCTCTGTGAGGTGTATTCTCCTCCCCCGTCTGACTGGAAGCTTTTGAGTTTCACGCCCGATTCTCTTTCCGCTACAGGGAGCCAGGCGACGAACGCTTCGAAGGCCATGTCGCGGCTTGGTAGGTTAAGGTGCCAGACATAACGTGTCACGGCGTCGATGAACGTGATAGTGTAGTTGTACGCGTTCGGTCCAGGTTCGCGGTTGTACAGGATGTCGCTGTACACCTTCTCGAGTGGTGCGTATGCAGGTGCGCTTGGATTGTGATGCGAGACGAACGGCTGATGCGGTAAGTCAGCTTCAGGGCAGGTGAAGCACGTTCCACGGGCTCGCTGAAGTTCTCTGCCGTCGGTCAGTAGGAGTGAGTCTTTGTCGAGCACTCCTGCTCTTATCGTGTTGTTTAACACTGTGTTGCTTGGGTGTCCCATCCTTGCGTGCCAGGTTCCTTCGGTGGCGCGGTGTCCGGGTGAGCGTCGGTATATGTCGGAGTTAGAGTAGAAGCCGGCGGTGACGTTGGCGCTTCGGTGGACCTCTCGTGGTGCCGGTTGTAGCTGCTGCGCGGGTGTCGGTGGTGTGTCGTCGATGAGGAGTGGTGCCATCGAGGGACCAGCGACTGGAGTTGATGTCGCCACTGTTGCTGTCGTTGTCTCTGCTGCTGCCGATGTTGTCTCTGCTGCTGCCGATGTTGTCTCTGCTGCTGCCGATGTTGTCTCTGCTGCTGTTGAAGATTGAATCGTCGCTAACGCTCTTGTTCTTTCTGCTTCAGGAATGGTGTGGGAATGCCAGAAGCCACCGGGGCTGAAGTCTGGATCAAGATCTGGAGGGTGGGTCCAGGAGGTGAAGGTGACGATGCCGTCGCTGTCTGCTGTGCCGAGATCTGGAACAAAATCAAGAACGAAGACGTTGTTCTTGAGAACCGCCTTGCCGATGTAGAGGCCGCCCTTCCCGTGGTACAGCTTGAACTCCTGGGTGGTGCTGTCTGCTTCAAGATGAATGCCCTTCGCCATCAACTGACTGACGCTCAGTAAGTTGTAGCCGAGGCCTTCTGCGATTAAAACCTTGGACATCTGTAAAATGACATTTGTCTCTCGTGACTGAAGTTGTACTACGCCTTGTCGTCGTGTGTGCAAGTTCTGGTTGTTGGCGACGGTGATGACTACTTCACGTTGAAGTTGATACTCTCGCTGCACGAAGCGTCCTGAAGAACACATGTGCTGTCCGCAGCAGCTGTCCAAGAACCACGTGTCCTTCCCGGATGGCTCGCTTTGAGCGATGGCTGCGTACGTCGGGTTCGGTTGAAGTGACTCGCGGCGGGGCGTACTGTTGTCGAGCTGTTCTTCCGGTGAGTAGTGTGGCGGTGATTCAGTGACGCAGGAGTCGGTCAGTCTTGCCATGCAACTGACGATGTTTCTTGCTCCTTGTGCAGGTTGTCCCGTTGATGTCGTCTGGGTCGTGGGATTCGCTTGCGTTGAGGCGACTTGGCTGCTTGAAGGTCGAAGCTGCCGCTGCGGTGGTGTTGACTGTTGTCGATTCGGGCAGTGCGTGCGCGGGTGTCCTGAAGTCTTGCAGATGTGGCAGAACGGGGGTACTGGTTTCGGTTGTTGTCGGTTGTTGTTGTTGTTGTAGCGTCGCTGAGTGTGAGAAGCGAATTCCGGTACTGATGTCTTCCTCTGATGTCTTTCTTCTTGCAGGTCCATGTCTTGCTGCTCGGCGTGGATTTCGGCGCAAAGTGCTGCTTCGGAAATTCTTCCGTGGGCTCGGAGAATGGCTTTTGTGGCGCGCCATTGAGGACCGAGGCCGCCGATGATGACTGTCACGAAGGCGTCTTCAGATATTGACCCTCCGCATCGAAGAAGCTTGTCGCGCAGCTCGCGACATCGGCTGATATACGCCATTCCCTTCTCGCCTGGTTTCATTTCGACTGTTGCCAGTTGCGTCATTAACCGACTTTGGTTTACGCTGTCTGTTGCTTGATACAGGTTCTTCAAGTGGCTGTATGCGAGCTCCGCGGAGTTGCCGTAACCCCGGTAAGACCTTATATTCTGCTTCTGAGTCGGTGTGTTGTTCCTCTGTAGGATTGTGTACGCCATCATTGACTGATAGGTGTACTGCTGCTTCTCGTACTGTGTGCCGTTTGTTGGGTATGGTAGAAACCCATCGAAGAAGCCAAGTATCTGCGCGCCTTCCATCATCAACTCGAATTCGAACGACCAGGGTAAGAAGTCCTTTACATCAAAAGGCCTCGATGTTTGCAGCTTTAAAACCTGTGCGAACTGCGACTGAACTTGCAGCGCGTCCAGTGGCTTTTCTTGTCCAGGTGAAGGCTGCGGGTGCGGCATGAAGCTGATCGAACCGCGCTCGTACGGAGCAAAGGTAGGCTGCTGTTGGTTTCCGCGAGCATATGATGAGCCATCAAGACTCATTGGAGTCACGTTGTTGTTGCTGTTGTGTGACTGCGCAGGTGCCGATTGCTGGTGTTGTTCGTAAAACGACATGAAGGAGAAGAACTTCTCCATCATGCTCTGGTCGAAGTTGGCAGGTTGGCTCGCGGGAGTCTCAGTAGACGTTGTCCTTGGTCTGAATGCCGTGCCTTCCTCTGTCTGTAGGCCAGAGGCAGGAGGTGGAGTAGGAGTAGTGCCTGGGGAGCCGTTAGAGGAGCTCCTTTCCTTTTGTGTTGCCATGTCTTGTGATGACTTGGTAGTAGTTGAGCTTCCCTTGTGCGCTCTCATACCATGTTGGGCTGAGAAAAGCCCTTGAGATCTTTTGCAAGGGTGAACTCTGGGTAGGAACGATGTAATAGCGGAAGCGTTTAATGAAGAGGTTGAACCACCTTGCGCTAGTATGTGAGGGCAAAGTAGATTAATTAAAGCAAAGAGATACAAGACTATATAAGAGTACAAGGAATATGAAGAGATACAGTTATAACTACTTTACTGTTTGCTGTTGCGGTTCGATACAGTGACGACTCGGGCAACTGCTCTGTAGCGAGTCAGTTGTGTGTCCTTGCTGTCGCGCTGTACTTGTCAGGTCAAAGGTCGCTGACCTTTGACTTTCGCGTAACCTCCAGCAGTTACTTTCAACCTCCGAGGGTTGACTCGCTAATGCTTCGGTATGCTTCGCTTCGCTTGTGCCTTAGTGTTTCGACACGACAGAGGCGCTTAAGATTCATTGTTTCCAACAGGTTTCAGAGAGATCAGCAGCATCCCCAACCCAAGGATGTTCGCAAGCCTTTTAAGTATGGTTGCCATAGAATCTGCGCGCGCGCACATAATAAAAAACTGATTTTACACCACGAGAAAATATTCCATTTTTTATACACTATGCTTCAAGGAGAACTTGGGCAAAACAGGAAATCAGAATTCCGCTTTCTCTAGTGTATCCCAAGGGTTCCTTTTCAACCGTACGAGGTGCGAAGATACGGTACTCAAGTCTATGCCTTTAGTACTCAAACCAAGGCACAGGATTTGGGCCAAGCAACTTGCAGCCACGAACATCCAGCAGTCGCAGCATCGTTAAGTACCGCAGCTCTTGCGTTGGCAGGGACTGAAGCCGCTCACAGTCCCTCAGGTTCAGCTCTCTGAGTCTTCTCAAATGGTAAAAGTTGGGAGGGAGGACACGAAGTGATGCTTTCCTGGCGACTAATCTGTGCAGGTTAGTGAGGCGGGTGATAGAACGGGGCAGGCTTGTCAGGGAGGAGCAATTCTGCAGGCTGAGGTCGCCCAATCTTGACAAGGCAGAGATGGACTCAGGAAGATGAGTCAGGTTTGCAGCTTCAATATGAAGAGACGTGAGTTGCACAAGCTGGCCCACACTTTCTGGAATCACCCGCAGAGATCTCGCCCCTCCTACATGCAGCTGTTGGAGCCGAGACATGGATCCAATATCAAGAGGCAGATGTTGCAGGGATATGGCACATGAGATGTGAAGAATGCGGAGGCATGAAAGGAACCCGGGCAGGAATGGAAACTCGGTTCGTTCAAAGCCCAGGCGCATCTCCAGGTGCTCTATCTGAGAAAGGCAACGGGTACTCGCTGGTGCATCCGTGATAGCGACCCGATCCAACCACAGCTTCCTAAGATTTGGAGCCGTTGACATGTCAGGAAGAATGATGCTGCTGGTATCGTTTCCCAAGCTCAAGGTTCCCAAGAACCGCGGAAGACTCTCTATAGTCTCCTTAAGCTGAACACAACCCGTCAGATCCAGCTCCCGCAGGCATGAGAGGTTTCCCATGGTTCGAGGTGCCGACGTGAGCTTCACACAATTGTGAGCCTTGAGCGTTTCCAAACGGCTCAGCTGAGTGATGCATTCTGGCAGCCCCGTCAGATTACGGCAGTGGTTCAATGACAACTCTCGTAGAGAAGAGAGACGACTGAGTGACCATGGCAGCTTCTGCAGGGAACGGCTCCCGCTCAGCACCAAAGTGCGGAGATTGGTCAGCTCGCCTATCTCCTCCGGGATTGACGTCAGCCTTGATTCTGTAATGCTCAACGATTCAAGAGCAGTCAAGCAGGAGATTGCTGCAGGGAGGATGTCAATGCTCGTGCAGTCAATGGACAGCTTCTGAAGCCCTGTGAGTAACCCAATGGAATCGGGGAGTTTAGGAAGCCGCCAGCACTTCAACACTCTTAAAGATTTCAGCCTTGAAAGATCGTCAAGATTCTCAGGCAGACTGGACATGTCGCTGTTAGAAATGGTGAGAGCTTCCAAGGTGCTGATGCTTGAGAGCGATTCAGGCAGCTCAGTCAAACCGTAGCTTTGGGAAAGGCAGAGTTCGCGAAGTGCCGGAAACCGCTCGCCGAGATCCTCAAGTAAGATGTTCTGAGCACCGGTAAGCAGCAGGCGTTGAAGACGGAAACACGGAATGGTTGACGGAAACATCGAAGGGAAGTCCGTTGGAGCCCGCACAAATCCTTGCGAACGAAGCATTGTCAGTTGACCGAATGAAAAATCTCCTTCGAAATCAAGGAACCATGAATCTCCTAGGAAGAACAGGCTGGTCAGATTCGAGAGGCTCGTTAACGGCGACATCTGATGTAAGCGCATGTCCCGCTTCTGAATCGAAAGCTTCGTGAGAGAAGACAGATTGGCAAAGTTGGGGTCGTCTAGAGGCGACATACCCCGAAGAGACAGCGTGTGCAGGCGCGTCAACTGGAAAAACGAAACTGGAATCTTCGTTCTCCGATGGAGGCACTGGAGTGACAGCTGCTCCAAGCGGCGACAACGGCGAAAAAGACTGTCTAGCCCAGCTGCCGTGACGGGGTGCTCTGAATCTTCAGAGTCTTCCTCTGGAGCAATGCCTTTGCCGACATGGAGAGCGGTTAGATTCGGACGCGAAGAGCCGAGAAAAGCCAGGAAATATTTGTCGATCGTTTTCATGCTTCTGTCGCTTAAGTGCAGGCGAGTGACATTCAGGAAGGACGTCAGAACGCGCTTGAGATCCTGGCGAGACACCAGACGGCCTGGTAAAACGTGAAGCGTTGTGACGGATTCGTGTGCGAGCTTCCGCCAGCGACGGCAGATTGAGGCGATAAGGAGGACGTGTGCGACATTGGCAGAGGCAGGAGGCGTCGAAACATGCGGATCAGGCTCTTCATTTGAATCGTCCCCATCATCAGCGTAATCGGAGAGAGAAAATGAAGGCGGTGGCGGGAAAGCATCAGAATACCAAAAGATCCTGACAAGTACATCGTCAGGAAGAGAATTGATGCTTGTGGAACGTCTCATGTCCTAAAGTTGACCAGCGGAGGCTCAAATTTCTTAGACGACGATCTGACACTAAACACTGATACAGTCGATGCTCACCCTATCACAAAAACAATGCTTATCACAATTACAAATTTACTCACTCGCGCTCGTGATGTGACTGAACTGAGCATTATGAAGTTTTCGTTGTACAGTCACATATGTGCGGAAGTCAATATCTACAGTGCGTAAACAACAAAGGATACACGTCACCAGAGTGGTGACCTGGTTACGAAATTAAAGCCCCACATTCCACTTTCATTGCACTTTCATTTTTGAGTCACAATTTTGCCTGGGGCGACGTGGGTGAAAGCACGGGCGAATGAGCGAAATGTCAAAACTCGTTTCACTCACATGCCGCCCGCCTACCTGGTGTTCTTGTAATGGGCACCGACTGTATTGGTGACGAAACGCTACCCTTGTCAGCCCACCTTAGGAAACGAATCTAATGGGATGAGAATGGAGTTAGGACAGTCTGCTTTTCCTGGAAGATCTAGTTTCCTGCTGTTTGGATTGGAACATGTCTCTAGGGCAGCAGAGCAAGGGCCTCCAATGGTTCCAGTCCCACCAGTGCAACCCGAGCTTTAACGTTCAAGTTACGTCACTCCCGTTTCTGTCATGGAGGACCAAGGCAGGAACGTTAGCAACCCAACCAAACCCCCAGCCTGGCTGGGTGTGGGTGTACTGTAGCTTGCAGCCCTACTGTTTCAAAATTCGAATGGGGCTCCGCCAACCTGGCACCACGCCATCCTGTGACACTAAACGGTTCTTGGCAGCACCTCGCCAATAGCACAATTGAATTTCGTGACAGGAGCATATAGTGAAGAAAGTTATTCTAACAATGTAGAGAACCGAATAGGAGACCACAAGTCCTTTCATAGAAATCAAGCAACTCTTTTGTTATATTGTTCAGTTAATGTTAATGAAGCACCAAATATACATGAAAATGATTGCAGAGAGTGCAAAAAGATGAGATTTGTAATGCGATAATAGACCGGTAAACCGAGAAAAAAAAATCAGTAGTGATAAAACAGAGGCGAAAGTGTGTTAGTCTTGTAACAACAAGCAAGTGGGGGTAGAGAATAGAGAATGGAAAAAAAAGGCATGAATGGAAGTGGACTCATGGCAGTATGTAAGTAGAATGATATGAAATACAATGGATGTTGTCAGGTGGGATGGTGCCATGAGATAACATGGATGCCATGAGACGCAATGGATGTCATGGTATATGATTAATGGCTTGCGATGATAACGATGACACATGATGAAATGGAGGGCACGAAAATGGATGGTTGGCATGCGACTGGATGGTTTCGTGTGTTGAGATGGATGGCTCGAAACGTGTAGAATCACTAGATAATTTTGGATAGTAACCAATATGGTGCTGGCGTATGAGATGGCCGCATGAGACATGTATGAGGTGGACTAAATGATAGGACATGTGATAAATGGCATGCGATCAGATAAATGGTATGCAATAGCAGGGATGGGATGATAAGGGAAGGATGGCAAAAGATGGGATGAATGGCATGCGATGGAATGGATGGCATGAGGTGGAGTAATTAGCATGACATGGGATGGATGACATAAGATGAGACGAAGTAGCATACAGTAGGATGGACGGCATGAGATGAGATGAATGGCAGGAGATAAGATGGAGGGCATGATATTGAATGGATGACATGATACAGAATGGATAGCATGATTTGGAATGAATGGCATGTCACTGAATAATTAAATGAAATGAAATAAATGAAATGGAATGGTAGATGAAATGAGATCGGATGGATGGAGTAAGATGGAATAGGATGGATGGCATCAGATGGTTTGGTTGGCATGAGGTGGGATGGATGGGAAGAGATGGGAAGATGGCATGCAAGTGGGTGGATGGCATCAAATTGGATGGTTTGCATAATGGACGCCTTGCTATGTTGGTTGGATGATTTGAGATCGGATGAAAGCCATTAGGTGGGATGGATAGCATGAGAAAGGATGACTGGAATAAGTGATGGATGGCATGCTATGGGATGGATGGGATGAGATGGATAGATGGCATAAGATAGGGCGGATAACCTGAAATGGATTGGATGGCTTAGAATGGGTTGGTTGGCATGGGGTGGGACGGATGGCATGATAGCATGAGATGGATGGATGGCATGAGATGGTGGATGGCATTAGATGGGACGGGCTCCAGGATATACGATGGCATAAGATGGTCCACATAAATTTGAATGGATGGAGCATGAGATGGAATAAGTGGCATGAGATAGGATAGATGGCGCTTAAGGGGTTAAATGACAGGCAATAAGATTGATGGCAAGTGGAGGCTTGGAGAGAATAAGGCGGGAGAGATTTCATCAGCTGTAATGAAATGGTTGGCATGAACTAGATGAATGGCATGAGGTGGGATAGATGGCATGAAATGGGACCAATGGCATAGCATTGGATTGTATAAGATGGCATGGATGGGATGAGATGGGATGGCATGAACTACGTTGGCATGAGATGGGATGAATGGCATGAGGTGGAAATGATGGAATCTGATTGTATGGAGGCCATGAGATGGGATGGTTGCACGAGATGTGCAGGATAGCAATCAGTAGGATGGATGGCATAAGATGGGATGGTATTGGGGGCATAAGATAGGATGGATGGCATGAGATGGGCTGGTTGGCATGCGGTGGGATCGATGGGATGAGAGAGGATGGATCGCATGAGATGGGATTGATGGCATGAGGTGGGACGCATGGTTCAAGATGGAATGGATGGCATGAGATAGGATGGATGGCTTGCTACGAGATTGATGGCTCTTTGGAATGATATGAGATGGATGGCATGATATGGGATGGATTTGCAAAAAATGGTTGGTTGGGATATGATGGGATGGATGGGATGTGATGAAGATGGATGACATATGATGGGATGGATGGCTTGAGATGTGATGGGTTGTATGATATGGAATGTTGAGTAGGTGATGGGATGGGTTTGCATGAAATGGGCTGGGGAGCATAAGATGGGATGAATGAGATGTGATTGGATGGGTGGCATGAGATGGGATGGATGACATTGATTGGCATGGATGGCATGTGAGGGGCCAGATTTGTACAATAGGATGGGTGGCATCAGATGGGGTTCATGGCATGAGATGGGATGGATGGTCACATATGGTTGGATAAATGGCATGAGATGGGACAGGAGGCAGGAGGTGGGATGGCATGGCATAAGATGAAACAAGATGGCATCGCATGGGTTGGCTAGTACAAGATGACAAGAGATGGATTGTATGGTCAGAGATTAGAGTGGATGTTGACATAGGATGGGCGGCATAAGATGGGGTGGATGACATGAGTTGCAATGGATTGCATGAAATGGAATAGATTGCATGAGATGGATGTCATGATATGAAATGGATGGTTGAGATGGGATGCATGGCATCAGATGGGATTCATGGCATGAGACTGGATGAATGTCATCAGGTGGGAGGGTTGATATCGAACGGGATGGATGGCATGAGATGTGACAGATGGGATGAGATGTGATGATGGCATGCGCTGGGATGGCTGGCATGGACTAAAATGAGAATTTGCTCATAGATGGCACGGATTAAAATGAGAAATGGTTCATAGTGTTGAGTGCAAAATGCGGTTTGCACGTCAACCTACCGCCTATTCGCCGACGGTAAAGGAAAATGAGAGTTTTTGTTTTAAGGTAATTTGTGGAGTGTGAGGAGCGCTTTTGTGTGCTTAACATTTGTGCGTTTACGGTTTGTGAATCGCCCTAGCGGTTCATAAGTTATGTGTGTTTTGTGTGTGAGTGCATTTCATGAATGTTCATGAGTTTCCGTGAGAGCGCATGAAAATTCGTGAGTTTCGGTAAGTTCGCATGGGTTTGCGATTGTTCATGAGTCTGCGTGTGCGCTCATTGTTTCTCATGTGTTTTCATTAGAGTTTATGAGAGTTCATATTTTTCGTGTGTTTTAGAGTGTGGCGAGTGTTTTGCCACTTTGACCTTTTCGTGCTGGTCAAGGTCAACCGAGCGCGAAGGCCAGGGCTCGCGAGTGGGGTCCTGAAACGCGCGTGTGGCCCCTTAGGCCTCGCGCGTGTGCCGTCGCACTGTTGCGAGCGTGGCAGGACCCA